ATTCAGCCTATTTTACAAAACCTGATAATGCTTAAAATGAAATAATTTGATATTCACTAGTAATTGTACATTGTAGCTCTGTGCTCAAGTAAATGACAGTGTAAAGACATTTTAAAGAAGTGGTAGCAAATTTAGGCGTTAAACATAGCAAAACATTCATTCTTTCACTGTGCAGCAGAAAGCAAAAGTCGTTTAAGAAGCAGTGCTAGTACGCCAGAGGTTTGGGGACAATTAACTTCCAATCCAGCTGATTTTCAACTCAACTTGGAAAGTGGATTTTATTTCCTATGAACATGATCAATCAAATCTTTCACAAATGATTGAATTAAGGTTCGTAATTACGCAAATTACTGTTGCAAAACAAATTGACTCCAAACCTGCTGTTACTCTTAAGCATATAACATTTGCACACAAGTTAAATTTGACTTAACATTCATAAAGTAGAATATACAGCTCTCAATCAACAGAAATATCATCAAAATGTGACTAAAGGTCATAAACACCTGATTTTAGGAAAATGAAAAATTCTGTGCTTGTTCCACCACAACATAAATACACACCCCACATCACATGAACACAAAATATTAAAAACATTCAAAGGATAAGTAAACAGCAGTAAAAGTTTTAAAGTATTGAACCTGTGCTTTGCCAGCATTCATGTCAGTAAAGGGGTCTGAGAGCTGTAACTGTAGTTGGTCGTAGTTTCCAGTCCTCTGTTTATTTCATCTAGTTTAAGGGTTGAAATCTGTTGTATCAAAAGTCATTCATGTGACCTTAAATGTAATTCCAACGGCCTGAAAATGAATACAAGAGGATTTATCGCCAACCACAGGTTCAAACAAGATAGATGTGATTATACTGTATATTCAGTGTTGAAGGAAAAAACACACACTTCAATTACAAGTACATTCATTCTGCAAGTGGGCCCAGAGATCTTTGGGAAATGTAGTCTTTTTTTTCCATTTCACAGAAAAACACAAAAGGTGCAGTCGCACAATAGTGCACAAGTTATTTTTTCCTCTGTCCAGATAATGAGGTCTATGATGGTCATGAGTTCGGCCTTCATCATCAGTGTTATCACCGAGTTATTACTGCCAATGCACAAACATTGCATAAGGCATGTGAAAAGAAATATATAGGCCAGCTGTATATTCTATTATAACTCTAGCTATATACATAGGACCATGAATACACATTTAAGGCCGTCTAGACCCATTTTATTCTGCACAAGCATTCTGCTAACAGTTGGCTTAGATGAATATTGTTTGGTATAGATGTGCACAAAGATGGCAAGCAGTACGTCTTTGTCCAAGTGGAATGCTTATATAGAGTTAGTCAACATTCAATGATAAGGTCATCATGGCTATCTGAAATCTGAGAAAGTCAGCAGCAGCACTGAAACATTTTCTTCACTTAAAGGGGTACTCCAACACTTCTGTGCAGTTCAGGGTCAGATTAAATGTAGGATTCAGAAATGCTGGATGCTACTAATATTAATAGTAATACTCTTGGATACCAAGCCTGGGAACCAGACGAATCTGGGAGCTCATGTTTAATTTGCTCTGGCAGATTTGGCTGGTCCCCCTACCATTTTGACAGTTTCCAGCCTACAAGGCCAGGCCAGTCACACCTGTTCATCTAATAGGAGGTTTTAGACGATGACTGATGTGACCTATATGATGATGTCATTTTTGGCTCATGTACCCTAGCACCGGAGACATTACGGTAAGCATGAACCTAGCTTAGTGAAGAGGAGCGCCAGCCAAGATGATGAAGAGAGCTGATGTAGAACTATTTTCAAATTCTGACGGCAAAAACGGCAAGACTTGTTCAATGTCTCTCAATGCTACGTCATGTTCCGTTGCTCTGACTGGTTGGAGGTCTATCAAATTGTATCCAGAAGCATTTTGATCTACGGCCGCAACCCGGTCTCACTCCGAAGTCGTCGAAATCTGGCGCTTGGGCAATGACTAGCACTGACAAAAAAAGCCGTCCTTTAACATTGCCGACATGATACGCAGCTGATCCTATTATAGTTTAATGGCGCCCAAAGGCGTCTGGGGGAAACGTGGTGGGACAAGAATGAAAATAGGGTGGCTAAAGTCTGAGTGGGGTGGGTGGGAGTGATGGTGGAAGGGTCCAACAAACACTGACTTTCACCCGGGAGAACGGCGTTCACATCCCATGAGATTATAAAGCAAACCCTGTTTGTTTTTCCTAAACCCAACTACATGTGTTTGTTGTTGAAGGAAAAAAAACATCAATTTGCAGTGTTGTACTTACGCAAACCGTTTATTTTGAAAAATACTGCATGTAAACGTTATATTTCCTGTGAAAACGGAAGTGTATTTTGAAAGACGACAATGCACGTAACAGGCTAAACTTGACACAGTGTCCCTGAACGTCAACAACCAACGCACCCAGGGTACCTTTCATGTGGTATCTGATGTGGAAAGTCCATTACCAAACGTCAATATGTGATGAAGTCGGAGTGAGAACGTGTTGTTGAGAACACCCCTTGCAAATCAAAAGACTTACTTGTATTTGCGATTTGGTTCAGCGATGTCAGGCAAATAAATAGGCAACCATCTGACATTAGACCTCGATGCCTTCTTAAAGATCCAGCTAAGATAACCCTGATGGCATCACTATGACATTGCCAGACGTCCCCTCCTAAGGACTCAACAGAGGACATTCTACAACAGGGCGAGTGGTAATCTCCGTGACGAGTAACCTGACGTTCATTTGTAAAATTAGTGGAGTGCCCCTTTAACTGTGCTCCCAATCAACTAAAACAAACTGATCATTTAAGCCCTTATAGTCACAATTAAACAATAACCAAAGCTAACCTGTGTGTTCACTCTACTTCATTTGCATCAATCTACATTTTTATTAAACTCATGAATTTGGTCTTCACATCTAATTTCACATGCATTTTTTCCTCACTTTGCCTGCAGGTTCCCTCATACACAGACAGCCTGGTCTCAGAGTAACACATCAGTGCCTTTGCCTGCCACCCTTGACTTCACAGAGACAGAAAGACATTTCTAATGCATCTCAAATGATGCAGTATCATTTCCCCATCATGCACAACTAGGAAGCAATTAAAACTGATATATCTAAGTGCACCTGATGACTTTATGGAAACCTTAGCAATTATGCAGTGGAACCATGTGCCTCTCTTGTAAACAGCCTTGCTTTGTTCTTCGGTGAGGTCATTTATAATAAGAGAGCAAACAAAGCACCATCAGGGATTTTTAGAAAGTAGCACATATAGATACTAACATGCACTCACATAGCCATACATGCCCTTTCTCGACAAATGCAGCACTGAGATTGAATGCCTGCCTCTCTGCCATAACATTCGAACGCCAAAAATAGATATCCCTGGTGTATTGGCTGTGCTTTCTACACACACACACACACACACACACACGTACAGCTGAAGCCAGGGATTGGTGGAGTAGCTGAATACAAGAGATACTTAGTCATTGCTAATCCACAGAGAAGAGAAATGGGAAGGAGGAGAAGAATTAGGCCAGAAATGAGTGTGATCTATATGTAGAAATCAGGTCATTGGCTGTATATGGGACAAAGATATTGCTGTGCATGTGAAGGATCACAGCGTAGGTACTGATAGCTGTATGGAATTAACCAAACAAACCTTTGACATTCACACCCTGAATAAAGACATATTGTCTAACTTCACTATGTGCCACAAAAAAACCTTATAATGATAGCAGTGAAGCTGTTATTGTGCACAATAAGCACTGTAATCGTGTCCTTCTATTGGGCAAAACTCTAACTAGCTTGCCATTGTCACATAAAACACCAAGACACAATCAGCAAACAGTGGTGGCCTATCTTAGCTTTGCTTGATGCATGCATTGCTTAACTTTAAATGCAACCCCTAGTCATTAAGTAAATGAACAGCATCGACAGCAGCTTTAAGCAATAGCATTTTCCACTATATAGCCATGTATTTTAAATAAATATTAGCTCCTAAATCCTTCGGGGGACCTCTACAGCTGTCTGTTGTAGTTACAGTGCTCTGCTGGATACATTCTGTAGGTTTGTGGAAGCGGATTTAGGATCGAGATTTGAGCGGTTGCTAGGTGACTGGATAAAAAGAGGCCACAGGTGGAATCGTCCCAGCTTGTACTCCTCTCCTGCTCGCTTGTTTGTTTGTCCTTGATTACGCTGCCAAAAAACAGTAGTGGACGAGTGGTCACCTGGAAGCCAAGGCACGTGTTCTGTGTTTGTCTCAGCCGGCTAAATTCCACATTTTTGTGCATTTTTCTCTTTGTCAGACTCTTTTCAAGTTCCCGCCTCTTTACTGCATCCTTTGTTTTATGTAACAGTGCAGCAATCCCTATCACAGCTTCACCTCTGATTCTGTTTCACTGCCCTTCACTTCTCTCTAGATGTATTGGAGAGGCAGATTGTTCAGTGCTTTCTTCCATCTCTTCATCTTTCTTCCTTTCTTTCTCCCTCTTCTAAAAGGTTAACATTACATAATAATAATGCAGTCCTTACTGGCTTTCCATTCATTGCTACATAAGTTAAGACATAGAGCCTCACAGGCCTGTCTGAACCTCTCCTCCCACATCACCTGAAATATGACTCATCCATCAACTGTACAACACAATCTTTCCTTTGCAAGTCCAACACCACACCACACTGCAAGCAGCAAAGAATCTTTAAAAACAATGAGGACATCCTGTACACATTGCACCGGCACTGGCTTCATTTGTTTGCGAGCCAGAGAATTCACCCACAAACGCACCGAACAGGAAGCTCCTTACTAGTATTTGTGATTATTGTAGGCACTCTAAAGACCTGGAGGACCAGCCTCAGGATACAAGAGCAGAGAGGTGGAAACTGGAGAGCAGCCGTGTCAATGAGTGATAGCTTAAGAATGGAGGTCTACCCTCCCATTGATGTAAAGCACATTTCTAAAGCGGTGGTGGTGGAAATTGGAAATGCGAGTTTCTATAGTCCTATTTGAGCTTCACAGGCCAGGGGAGGCACGTGCGGAGTCCCAGCATGGAGGAGAAGACGATGGTGGGTCGATGTTTCTTGAACCTCAGGCCTTTCTTCAGTCGCTGACTGTTCTCTACCACGTACAGCTCCCCCTGCTGGGCTGCACTGGATATCCGCGACACCACCTCCCCGTGAACAACCACCTCCTGCTCCGAGCGCACAAACACCTCCCTGAGCTCCTCCAGCCGTCGCTCCATTTCTCTGATGACACGCTGGCGCTCCTCCACCTCCAGAAGGCGCCGTCGAGCTGCCTCGAACTCCATGCTGGAGCTAGGGGTTACAAGCTTGGAGGAGGGGGCCGTGGCAGAGGTGGATGGTGGTTCAGAGCCGGTTCGCAGAGCCCCTGTCACCCTCCGGAAGTCTCCCATGGAAATGGAGCGCCGGGTGGCTGGAGAGGCCAGCGCCAGGAGGGCAGAGGCAGATGTAGAAGGTGGCACGGCTAATGGAGGCAGAGGGGAAGAAGATGATGATGGAGAAGGTGAATCTGGTTGGAGGATTTCAGGATGTGGGTCCTTGTTTTCAATAGCTGCTGCCATGTCCTCGGTTGTGTCCTCCTCTTGGGTGTCTGTTTTTCTTTGACGTCCCTTCATGGCCACTGTTTATCTCTTCCTGTGCTGCTGTTGTACTTGTTGTTGTTGTTGTTGTTGTTGTTGTTGTTGTTGATGTTTTCCCCCTGTCTTCCTGTGTCAGAGCGCAGAGCAGCCAAGCAGAGAGTGCGGAGATGTGCAGTGATCCAGCCTGGGAACCGCTCCATTCATTAATAAGAGATCTGAGCCGAGCTAGTGCCGTCTCTGCATCTGAGTGGTTGTGCTGGGGAGGAGCCTCCTGGCAGCTCATTGGCTGCTGAGCTCATAAGCATGTCAGCTGATGATTGGGCAGCCAGCCTCTGTGCTGCTGATGCTGGCAGGCTGATCTTGTCCTCTGCTTGACTGTTCTGCTTCGTCGTCGTCATCTGGAGCTCTGCTTCCATCAGCTCTGCTCAGTCAAGTGAGGCGGAGTGAGGCAAGACACATTGGGTCTCTCTTCTGTGCTGATGCTGTTTGGCTCACTCTGTTCTCCCAGCAGCTCTGCTGCCATTCCCCCTACCAGCTGGTCCTTCCTTTCCCTCTTTCTCCCTTTCTCTTGCTCGGATGGTTGCCCCTAGCAACACCGTCTCGACATCAGATGGCAAAAGCAGAAGGGAGGGGTGATGCTCCAGTTTCTCTCCCTCCTTTATCACCTTGCTGCTTAGCATTATAACCCTTTCTCGGTACTCATTCCCTCCCTCCTTTTACCGCCACTCACAGCCTTCCAGCAAACAACATCTTCCTCTTTAATTCACATATAGAAAACACTGTTGCACACAGACAGGGCACACACACACACACACACACACATACAGTAAGATTTTCTCTAGTAACAGAAACACTACACAATAGATTGACATTTATGCTTGTAATTTAGTACCGAGATGGCGAGCAATGAAAGTCACTGTTGCTAAGAAACTGTTTTCTGCAGCAAATCTGGTGTCTTAGGGGGAAAGATTGTAGTCAGACATTGTAAATTTGATTAGTTAGACTGAATTCATACGATTCTCTGGCACAGCACACAAAGTGCACTTAAGAAATCATACCAGGCTAACAAATACATTCTGCCACTGCAAATACTGTTGTGTGTAGCCAGATGTTTGCTTGTGCTCTTGAATTGAATCATTTCAACAGATAAATTGAGCATCAAATTATCTAAAAACATTTGCAAAGGTGCTGAAATTAAATGTTCTTTTGAGCAGAAAACTAAGGGTGAAGTGAGAAGGCAATCTCACAGAGAGTCTCATGATCTGAGGAGTCCAATTTTTCAGAGCATTTAACCCAAATTAAAGCCGTTGTGATGTGTGTAATCCTGAATCTAATACAGTGATTGTTGCTCTGTTCTGTGGCCTACTGAAGGCGAACAGGTACACCTGTTTTTGGTTGTTTAATCACCATGTTACAACAGTGCTGCAACATGAAAAACTGAAACCTGAACTCGCGTTTTACAGCAGAATTGTCGCAGCAATATTGACCAGTTTCCACTTTATGAAGTCTGATAGTGAGCAGTTACATCATCAAGATATAATACCTTGATTTTTCCAGTTTCTTTCCTCTGCTTGCTATAATATCCACTCCATTAGCTGCTAAGCTCCTCTCCGTCTAGACAAATATTGACTGGTTCTGCGGTTGCATTGCAGAAGTGATATAATAACGGTATGAACTAAGACACAGGATAAGATCTGCACACACACACACACACACACACACACACACACACACACACACACAGGCCTACATACACACAATTGGAAAGGGAACACTGGAGCACTAAGCCGTAATGTTTTAAATAACTGCCTTTAGCTAGAGTGAATAAAAACAATGACGCTTTTAACGGGTCAGAGCTTGTGCTCTACACTCACACACATGCATATTTGAGTGTTCACTTAGCTCTTTGCCTTTATCTCAGGATTGGTATTGCATTAGCAGTAGCACTGATGGCTCTCCCCTGCTTTTAGCTTTACTGACCCACTGATCCCAAGAGAGAAGAGAGAGAAAGGCAGAACACAAAGCAGGAGAAGCCAGAGGAGGAAGAAGGGAAGGATGTTCTTTATGGAGCTATAGAAGGAATAAATGACAGGAAACCCAGTAGACGCTCTTCAGGTCTTTATCATGCTATTCAAAAAGCCAGAAAAAAAGACCTTTGCAAAAGGATCAGAGTATTAAAGGAGATACAAAGACAGCTGTGCTGCTGTGGAGCAGTGAAACACTAAGGCAATAGAGCAGCTAAAGGGACAGTTCACCCCCAAATCAAAAATACATTAATCTTAAAAACTGCCTTCTTTTCTGCAGCTTAAATCTCCAACATACAGCAACTCACACCCAAAAAAAATCTAGATTAATAAACAGCAGCAGACCACACCCAGATAATCATCCCTTGTTTCACGGATTTCAAAAAGGCATTTGACTTCATTTGGCATTTCGGTTTCTAAAATTATTTGAAAAAAAGTGTAAGGGGGTAAACCTATGATATAATTAAAACCATGTATACTAATAATTAATGTTGTGAAAATGATGAAATATGGAAACAGCTTTCTTCCCTCAAAGTAAAGGGGTGAAACAGGGCTGCAGTCTCAGCCCCACCCTGGTTTTATTTATATTAATTAATTAGCAAACTCACTGGAACAGTCAGAGATCCCTGGTCTCAGCCTTAATATTCTACTTTTTGCAGATGATCTACTATTGTTCGCTCTGTCTAAGGAAGCATTACAAGAATTATGGTCCTCCAGAAACGACCCAGGTGTCAGGGAAACCCAATCAGGTTCCTACTTGGATCCACTGACATAGAACACACACACGCTGAACACACGAAAAATAACCTCAACAGGAAATTTCAATCTGGCTGTTGATGATCTCAGAGACAAGGGAAGTAGATATTTCTTTTCTGTAAAAAAAAAAAAGTCTTCAAACATAGATATACCTGTTAGACTCTGGCTCAAAATATTCCAGTCTATAATTGAACCAATATTATTGTATGGTAGTGTGGGGCCCTTTTGTAAATCAAGACTTTGAAACTGAAGTCCTACACACTGAGATCTGCAAGAATATACTCTGAGTCCACAGGAACACCCCTAACAATGGATGCCGAGCTGAACTCAACCAATGTCCCCTTTTAATTAGGATACAAAAAAGAGCAATCATATTCTACAAACACCTAAAAACAAGTGACCCTAATGGCCAGGCTCCACCAGCTGCAAACGTAAGCATCACATCAGCGTAGCGTTGTGGCGTATTCATGTGGGCTCCACTGACTGCGTACGGAAGCGACACGTAGAGAAGCCAGCAGGGTTGTTTACCTTTTGCCGAGCTGAGAGGCTGTATGTAGGCTGCATGAAATGTTAAAGCATTTTTCACCTAAGTTATTACATATATTTGAGTTCATCTAGAAGTTTACTGTACTGTACTGGATAAACATGGGTAAATGCATGAAAAAAAAAAAACCCCATCACATATCACCTCTGATAATGGTTTATTCATTTAAAAACACATTGTGCTCGTTTATCACACTATTTCATGTAGTTTTTATCTGCTGGAGGGTCGCGTAGGGGAGCGTAGTGTGACAAAAATAGAAGAGCCGCGTAAAATAGAGAGTTGTCGCGTGACAGACGAGGGTTCGCGCCGCTCCCATTGCCGGTGGAGCCACTGTAATTGATTAACAGGGGGGCGAGCTGCTACGGGACTCGCGCTGCAGACGTGTCGCGCCGCTGACGTGCCCGGTGGAGCCCGGCCGTNGGAGCCACTGTAATTGATTAACAGGGGGGCGAGCTGCTACGGGACTCGCGCTGCAGACGTGTCGCGCCGCTGACGTGCCCGGTGGAGCCCGGCCGTCACACTCTGCCTTTTTATTTACTCCTTCACTTAAAGCTACTCTTACCTTTCTTGCATTTCACACAGCACTTAGAAAAAAATTGAACATCCACAACTCTTGCCTCCCTCCAAAGGCCTACTCCCCCCTCCTCCATTACGTCCTCATTACGTCTAAGATAGACGTAGGCTTTGAGAATTTGTAGAATAAGGTTACAGTGCTAACGTTACATAGTAGCGTTAATGTTACTAGTAAGTGGAAACGCACAAGGAAGATAACGTTAATGTTTCAGAGGCTACGCTACAGTAGGCTAACAGTAGCCATTAGCAACTGGATGCTGTGTTGTCATATTTAACGTTAAATGTTATATTAGAAGCAAACTAAACATAACGTTACCTGTCCTGCACATTCAAACGCAACCCCAGAGTTTTGAAACTTATCCAGGGTCTGTGATGACTGATGAGTTTTATAATATAACGTAAACGCTAATGTTAGATAGTACTGGTGACTGTCAGCAAACAAGGAAGATAACACAGAGGTGCAGGCAACGTTAGGCTACAGTAGGCTAACCGTTAGCAACTGTTAGGCAAGCGGTTACGTCAAGTCAGAGGCCTTTACGTGGGGAAGTCAGACAGGACGCTTGATTGGTTGGAGTTTTCTTAGAATCATATGAGAATGGTACAATTATGAGTGTTTATCTCTGGTGGAATTCATTTACATTTTAGTGTGCCATCAGCTTATTATTAGCATTTTAAACTAAACAAAGAAAAGCCTAAAATATCCAGAAAGGAAAGTGTTGCTTTAAGTTTTTTTTTCTCCCTCAAAATGTATGTTTACGCATTTGTTGTAATAGACTGTTGTCAATTGTTTTTGAATACTCATTGTCTTAAATTGTAGTTGTGCTTTGGTAACACATAAGAAATGTCATGCCAATAAAGCTTATTGAACTGAATCGAATTGAAATAGCACTACAGGTAAGAGGGGAAGTATGCATTGTAGATTTTAGGGTGAAACGTCTTTTTAAATAAGATCATTATGATTGAATTAAATCTAAAAATATACCAAGTTCATGAAGAAGTTTTGATTTTGAACAGTATTAAACTGTGTACATGAAAGAATGGATACGTTAAACACTACTAGAGACATACAAATTAAATGCTGAGTATATTCACTGACATTTGAACAAGGCTAGCATGGTTCAGCCTTATAAGGTCTACCT